ACTAGTGATCTCTTACCAGTACTACAGATGTGTATAAATGTACAATTAAATGTATATCCATGCAAATCAATGTAACAGAATTTTCTATTTATAAAACTTAGAGTTGGTATGGAGAGTATGCTTAAAAGTATGCTAAACATTTCAGCAATAATTGTTTCATGGCAAGTACCTCATAGCTCTATGTGTATTTCCTTGGATGGTACTCAAGAGACCCCTGAAAAATAATGGTTCAACCTAGACATGCACTTGTTTGTGGCAGTTAGAGTAACTCTATTTCCAAGTTTAAAAACTATGGTAAAGGGCGCCTGGGTGGCTCAGATGTTTGGGCGTCTGCCTTGGGCTCAGGTCATGATCCCAGGGTCCTGGGATCGAGTCCCGCATCGGGCTCCCTGCTCCTTGGGAGCCTGTTTCTCCCTCTGCTTCTCTCTCTCTCTCTCTCTCTCTCTCTCTCCCTCTCTCTCCCCCTCTGTCTCTCATGAATAAATATATAAAATCTTTAAAAAAAAAAAAAAACTACGGTAAAAGCAGAAGGTTCTTACAATTCATCCTCCCTCTCTTTCTCAGGAGAGCACTGAAAACTAACTAACATCAGTTTCATACAGAGCAGAAAGTGACTTTCCATGGATTTGCAGATTCACCTTTACTGGTTTACTTTTTTTTACTTTTTCCATGTTCCTTTAAAAGATCTCCATTGATTATCCTGACACCTGCTGGCAAGGGCACAGTTGATCTTTGTTGGCTTTTCCCCACTTCCTCAAATCAAAGACTTTTTGGAGGTATTTTCAGTGACAACTAAGTGGTAATTTATCCAGTTTAAGTATTTATAGCACTTAATTTCTAACATTATCACATAACCACAAGAAAAATTCCAATACTATTCTACTTCACATGGGCGACCATTTGACTCTTTGTATATAAATACATGTTTGGTTTGATTAACAAAAGATACTATAATCATTACATGGGCTATGATTAAACAAACAAACAAAAAACATGCCAGGCCTCTTCCTTACAACACGGATAAGAATTGAATAATAGGAATGGCTGGGTTTTGGTTTTCTATTTTTTTCATAATAATATCAGTTTACAAACTACTTAGGAAATAAACTCAACTATGTAAAAGGTAAATTGATTAGCTATGAGAAGTCATGCCATTAATTACGTATTTACAAAATTTGCTATTTGTTTCTCAGTGTCTACTCATGACGATTTACTCTGTCTTGAACTGAGTTCTGAAGTCTGCACTGTTTTATGGGTTTTTGGCAAGAATATGATGAACCTACTACAACCTAAATCATACTCAAAGCTATTGCACCTGCAAGTGTACTCAATAAACAAGAAATACCAGAATTACTTTCTTAGGCTTTATGAAACTCTCGTATCAGGCAGGCTTTTTAAATTGTGCACAAATGATAAGATACACAGTCCATCCCATTATGCAAAACCCTACAAAAAAATTAAAAGTTTTAAAAATAAATTACCTAATTGAAATTTTTATCTTAGTATCAGTAAAATTAAGAGTATGGACTACTAATTTAGAATCTAGGAACTGTCAAACTTATATTTTGCAATGGTTTTTAGTAACCAAGCTATTTTATATTAGTATTGTATATTTTACCCCTTTACTTTACATTGCTTTAATTTTGTGAGAAAGAAAAATCACATGTATCTGGCAATAAAAGCAAACTTTATTAAAATACTAAAAATACCCTAGATCCTGAATACATGTTTTATATGAACATTGATCTTAAGATATTTGAGAAAAATACGAGAGAGTTTTAATTTAGAGTACAGAAGTTAAATACATTTGCCTGGTTTTGAAGATCTTTGTAACTTTAAGACCATAGAAAGAAGAATGTAGCATTTCAATTTTTCAACCATAATTTTTATTATTATAAATGTTTTCCCAAAACCATATGCATATTTAAAACAAAATGCATTTCAATTCTAAAGAAACATTTCAAGAATAAGCAAAAAAGCTTTTTCAGGAAGGGGGGAGGGGGAGAGCTGGCGGCGGGGACTGTGTGCTGTATCACCACAGTGTATGGGATGGCCAAGATTTTGCATTAGTGTCAAACTGTCAAAACAGGATACTTGATCTTCACTTTATTATTTTCAGTTCAACAGTTCAAAATTATTTTTAAGTGCTTCATCTGGCATCTGAATTAGCACTTATTTTTAAAGTACAGAATTCATGGTTATGTAAATTAAGTAACGAAGACACTAATGTGTAATAAATTTTTAAAAACACAAAAAACCTGTTAATGCAGTGTAAATATTGCTATACTAATTATAGAAACATACTGTTATTATCTTGAGTGAGACTGAGGTACTAATTTATTCTCACGTAGAATAACTAAAAAACACCATTGATTAAAAAAAGGAAATTCAAATGCCAATGATTCATAGTATTTAGGACATGTCTAGACATTTTTAGACAGTGCCATTTGCTTAAAGACTTCAGGCACCAACTGCAGGCACAGGGACAGATTGCATAAGATGTCACGTGCTTGCTGCAACTGTATGCATGTTATTGGATTTTTCAGAGCAACCCACGGTGATGAATAATTTAAGAGTTAATAAAATATTCAATCTGACTGATCCATTGGTTTAATTTTAAAATAAAAACGACTAATAAAAGAAATTACCAAATCCCAATCATTAATACATGTAAACTGCCACCCACACAGGGAAACACCAATTTCTAAAAGGCTACAGTAGATAAACGATGTCGGGGCGGAGGGATGCAAGTGAAATTCTCAGTGTTAACACTGGCTTAAATAAGTTTACTTAAAGTTTAATTGTTTGGAGCTGTCACACAAGCTGCACTCTGCCTTCTGCAGGGCTGAAGGAGAATAAATTAGAAAGGTGCAAGTTTAACAAAAAGGACTCATGGAAAATGGTCCGTTTCTTTCCTAAAGCCCTCTTTCCCTCTAATCACAGGATGGCTGGAAAAAAAAGGGGGGGAGCAATCTACGAAAAGAATATGGAGTACACCGCTGCCCGATTATTGTCTAGGAGCGGGAATGGAGAACCCCGGCAACATCGGCATGGTTGGTTTGTCTGGCGGAGTAAACTGTGCCCTAGGCGTGGATATCTTTAGGAGGCAGAGCTACCCACTGCAGTGAGCCAAGACTCACCGCGCCCCAGGGTTCCCGCAAACAGACCCAGCGAGGATAGCGCGGCCACACACGCTAGACACATTATCCTCCTCCACCCCCGCCACCCTCCACCTCAGCTCGGGGACAGATGGTGGTTGCGGTGGCACGGTGTAGGTGCGTGTGAGTGGGTGAATGTGCATTTTCGTGTTTGGGGTGGGAACGGAGGTGGGGAAGAGAGGAGGAGAAGGTAGTGCCTGCAGTTCGTCCCTTCCCCTTTCTGCTAAGGGATGAAAGTGCTGAAGAAATCCAGATGGGAAATAAGAGAAAGGAAAAATAACAGTGGTGGGAGCCCTGTCTTTTCCATATCGCTGGGGAACTCAGCCGAGCAACTACAAAGCCATTACCATGCCTTAACCTTCAGTGGAGTGGCTGCTTCTGCCTGATAACTGGAAGGGCACTTTGTAAACGCTGGTAAGGCACACACCTACACACACGCCTACATACCCTGGGGAAAATAGCCACGTTCTGGGGGAGGGAGGGAGGCCGAGGCAAAAGCACGGCCATGGATCGCTACTGGCAGGGCAGTGAGGGCATCCAGGAACACCAAGCTTCTTGGGCAAACAGTAGCCCAAGAGCTCACAATTTTCCTATGAAACAAATAAATGGATGGATGCAGGCATGGGTGGTGTAGAATACTCATGCAGTGTGAATTTCAAATGAATTCAATTCGAGTCAACGCTTTTAATTCAACTATCCTTTTCTTAGAGACACTGCATTTAAAACCCTGTAGTGCACTCAGCTCTCCACTTGAAGCAGCCTGCTAAGGGTTGTATTACCCTTGGACCCCTTAGAAGGGGCCGCCCCTATCCGTGAGTGCAGAAGGGGCGCAAGTCCCTCTTGCGCGGTCTCCCCAGGACCCCTGTCGCTCCTCCTGCCCTTTATCGGCGCCAACTTCAGCCCTGACCCGCGAAGTGACACGGCCAGGACAAGGGTTCATATTGACAAGCCACCCTTCGCAAAGGACCTGAAATTCGTCTATACAACTCAGTAGGAGACGCATCTACGTCCCGTAATTTTTTGTAGGCTGGTTTATTTCACACAAGTCATGGAAAGCACACCCAGACCAGCTCTTACAACTTTTCTGCTCTTGGGCGGGGGAGCGAGGATGTCTCGCACTGCAAGAGTCTCTATTACCAAGAGTTACGCGTGTACACGGAGGGAGTGCTGAGCCAAGCTCGGAGCCCCTGAGGTTAGAGGAGAGGCGGGTTCCTGGGGTTTTTCTGTAATCGACGCAGCGCGTCCTGCAAGGGAAGGCAGGAGAAAGCCGAACTGACTTGTCAGACCCGTCTCCACCTCGCCCACCTCCAGAACTCCCAGGGCCAGGTTTGGATTTGCAAACCGCTCAGCCCCGGCCCACTTCGGAGAACTGCACCCGGGGGACAGACGGCCATGCGGCTCTCCAGCCTCTTCCCGTTTCAAGCAGATGACGCCCGCAAGCTTGCTTCCCAGCTCGGGCCCCCACGGAAGCCCCGCCCGTTGCCCGTAGCTAGCATCACCGGGCATTGCCCGGGGAGGTTTCGAGCAGTGACCGGTTGGCCCAGTGAGCCGAGGACCCTCTGGTTCCCGAGAGCGCCGTTCCCTCCCCCTGCCCTCGGTCCCCGTCTTTCCTGGATCTCACCTCCGTAACCCCTCACCCTCTTCCCCGCTCAGCCCCACGCACTCCGCTCTGACTTTGCGAGCACTTTTCCGAGGCACCCGGGGCGCGCCGCCTCCTCCGTACCGCCCGCGGCGCTCACCACCCCTGGCGCGCCCCGGGGACCGCCTCCAGCCCCCTGCGCGGCATTTCCCAGGGGACTCCAGCCTGTCCCGCACCTAGCGGCCCGGGCCCCGCCGCCTCACCTTTGCAGAACTGGGGGACACCGAGGCTAAGCCCGATCAAGAGCCAAGCGGTCACCGAGCGCTTCATGATTCGGTCTCCCGAACGTGACCTCGGCTGGTCAGGGGTCCTAACAGAGGGCAGTGTCGCTGAGGTGGCACCGCAGGGCAGCGGCAGACCCCGCCCCTGCCGGAGAATTCAAAAAGATGTCTTCTGCCCGCAGCACTACCTTAAACAAATTCTTGGAGAAGGCGAGAAAGAGTGGTGACCAAAGCGAGGAATCTTTTCTCCCCTTTTGCCTGCGCTCCGGCGCAAGGAGATGGGCGAGCTCTGAGGAGCCGCCGCCGGGCTCAGCCTCCGCTGCGGGTGGGTCCCGGCTGAGGCGCGGCGGGCGGGGCGGGACGGGGCGGGGCGCGGGCTCCCGCGGAGGCTCCGGGTCACCCGCGCCTGTGGACCCGCAGACCGTGCGCTCCGCTTGCTCCGCTCTCGCCGCCGCAGCTGCGGGGCTTCTGACTTGGAGAACAATGAAGCGTGAGCTAGCGGGGAGCGAGCCGACGGCCGGGTGCGCACTGTGTACAAACAGAGGCGGCGTGCGTGTGAGCCTGAGCTTCGCAGGCGCGCTCCCTCGGTGCCCGCCAGCTCCCCCTTCTCCCATTCCCTCCCCCAGTCTTCCCCTCCTTCCTCCCTCTTCCCTCCCCCCCCCCCCCCCCCGTGGCTCCTTCTACTGGAAGAGAAAAGGGAGACAACTGCAGCCACACCCTGGCACCTGCCACCACCTCTAAAGTTCCTACATTGCCTGTACCTTCTCCGCACACGCCAGAGACTCTAGGGCTAAGGGAGGCACTTTGGTGTCTGAGATTCTCTTGGTTCCAGCATTGACTTTACAATTAACCACGTTAAGGATGCCCCTGAAGTTCTCAGTATAGCCAGGAAAATAAGTTAAAGAGATTTTGAAAAGTGACTCTTGGGGCACGAAGCTGCGTGAGAAATGGAACCCTGCAAAGTGAATTGCTCCGATTCTCAGGAAATGCAACCTAGTCAACAGCCAGACTCTAATCAGCTAGGACAAGGCTGCTCAGTTGTTCTGTCTGCAGTTTAGTTAGCTCTAGGGCTGGGAGAGTGGATTGTGAGTTTATCTGTTCACATGGGCAAAAAGGTGAAGGCCTGGGGCAAGCCAGTACGAGACACATGTCTTATTAGTCAGGACACGTTTCAGATGAGAAATAATGGGGAGAATTTGGGCACTGTGCAAGAAAAAAAGAAGGCAAGGACAGATTCTTGAAGTATCACTAAGGTGGGTCAAATTTTTCTGCTATCCACCAAAACCACTATAAATAGACTGGTTTTTCTTGCGGTGAAAGAGACTGCAGAATACAGACCATAGCTTAAAATAGTGCTTTCTCCTCTGTTTTTACATTAGAATGATTGCTTAATGTACATGGATTTGATTCCATCGGTTGCAGGTACCAAAATGAAACACAACTCTCTTTTTTTCTTCTAGAGAAGGCTGTAGAGAGAGAGAGAGAGAGAGAGAGAACCACAGGGAAAAAAAAATTGTAGGACACATTCTTGAAAGCAAGCATTTGAAATGAGAACATACTCAGAAAGAGATAACAGGACAATTAGTCCTGCAACTTCGTCTCCTTTACCTCCTTGAGTCCTTTAAACTTCAATTTCTACCTTCCTTTTGGAATTTGAAGTGAGATCAAGGATGCAAGGTTGATAGAAAAGTAATACTGTATGTTGCTGTGGAGGAGTTAAGATACTGTACCACTGGCAAACAAAAACAAAACAAGAAACAACAAAAATTATGTCAAAGCAAGTTTTGTTCAGATCTCATGTGCCGGGGGGAGGGTAAAAAAAAAATTTTTTTTTTAACACATGGCTTTGCTAAGGGTAAGAGGGAGAATCATTTATTTACTATTTTCATGCTTAAAGCCATAGATGTTAGAACACCACTGTCCAGAACTATAGCAAGAAACTTTTAAACAATCAAATTCCAACTTTCTTCCATGTCATTATTACTTAATTCTGAAAGTAAGCCTTCAGTCATGCTGTGGCATGTCCCTCATAAAGTACCTCTAACATTTTGAAATGAGATATTTAAAATAGTTTTAAGGTTTTATTTCTAAAGGATAGTACTAAATCTCAAAAATATAAAATCAGAAACTGGTGTCTGTGATGAGAGAGTAAAGAAAAAAGTGTGCCCCAAGAGTTTTATTTTCCTACTTTATTCTCTGTTTGTTCCCACTTTTCCGATAATATGTGACCTTAATAAGCATGTTAGGAAGTTAATTTTTTGGCAACAGTGCATGTTCTAAAATTTTATCTTTCTTTTAATTTAAATTCTTAAAAAAAAAACCTCCAGGAAAGCACAAAAATACTATCTTTACCACTATGACTCTTAAAACTCTCAGGTCAGTTAATGGCCAGGTCTCAGTATTCTCAACTGTAAAATGGAGTAAAACTCATAGTGGTAGTTTATTGTAGCGCACAAAAGGGCCTAGTCAGTAATGAGTACACAAGTGAAGATAATGATAATGATGAATAAATAAGAATAATCACATATATAACTCCAAAAGACTTTTCCTCAATAGCTGATTATCTCCATTCCTTACTGGTCACCCCCAATAAACTATATGGAAAATTTTTAATTTACCTTTTAATTTGTCAAGCAACAAATAACACTAAATAGAGTATTTCTGTAATTATTTCCATAATTGAATATTTAGAAATAAACTAGATACAGAAAGGGTCTTAGCTTGTTTGATCAAGTTACACTCAGTACTATTAAATCTTTAAAATCATTTTCCATTTAAAAACTATTTTACATTTACAAAAACTTTATTTTCTTTAATATCCTAAATGCTCTGGATTAAAAGTTGGATTTCAGGGCGCCTGGGTGGCTCAGTTGGTTAAGCGACTGCCTTCGGCTCGGGTCGTGATCCTGGAGTCCCGGGATCGAGTCCTGCATCAGGCTCCCTGCTCAGCGGGGAGTCTGCTTCTCCCTCTGACCCTCTTCCCTCTCATGCTCTCTATCTCTCATTCTCTCTCTCTCAAATAAATAAATAAAATCTTTAAAAAGAAAAAGGTTGGATTTCAGCTTTGTGAGATACAAAGCAGAAAACTAAGCCAAGCCTACCTGGATGTATGACCTGCAGAATTGCGAGTTGAGATTAGTGTTGTTCTAAACTGCTAAATTTGTGGTAACTTGTTACAAGCAACAAGAGAAAACTAATACAATAAATTAATACATTAAACTATCCCCTGTCTAGAGAAAAGGAATAAGGCGCAGATAGGTTAGATAAATTGCCCAGGGTCTCAAGTTCGCGTGTGTTGGAGCCAGTAAATGAACCTAAGCAGTCTGAATCCAGAGCCCACTCACTCCACTGGCAACAACTAGGGAGACTCAACTGCGTGCTAAACACTACTACATTTATTACATGTATTGCTTCGCTAAATTATCTCCACAACCTTTATGAGGTGAACATTATTATTATTTCAATTTAACAGTTGAAGAAATCAAGGATCAGTGGTCCATTTTATTTATTTATATTTTCAATTTTAGTTCTAATTTTAACTGTCATTTTTTAGTAGTTTGTATTTTCTCTACCCTTCTTGATGTATCATTTTAGAGGATATTTTGCTCAAATGTAGAGTTCCAAGGACACTTTTAAACTCTAAAATAGGGGCAGCTGGGTGACTCAGTAGGTTAAGCACCCGACTCTTGATTTTCAGGTCATGATCTCAGGGTTATGATCTCAGCATCCTGAGTTTGAGCCCTGCGTCAGGGGCTCCACACTCAGTGGGGAGTCTTCTTGGTATTCTCTCTCTCCCTCTCCCTCTGCCCACCCCCCGCCCCCACTCCTGCTCATGCACATGCATGTGTGTGCTCTCTCGCTCTCTCTCTCTAAAATGAGTAAATCTTTTAAAAAGTTGTCTAAAATATTTGCATAATTTAGAACACTTTTTTTCATTGATCTCCATAAACACCAAGTTAATGCCTTCTTTTTTTTTTTAAGATTTATCTATTTGTTTTGAGAGAGTGAGAATGAGAGAGAGATAGTACATGAGAGGGGGAGGGTTAGAGGGAGAAGCAGTCTCCTCGCTGAGCAGGGAGCCCGACGCCGAACTCGATCCCGGGACTCCAGGATCATGACCTGAGCCGAAGGCAGTCGCTTAACCGACTGAGCCACCCAGGCGCCCTAATTCCTTCTTTTAATCCTCTGCTCATGGTGTTATCCTCATCTGAAATGACCTTCTACAAATTGTAATTAGCTGAATTCCTACCTCCCTTTAATACCTCCTAAAATTATTCCAGCACTACAGAACCATGATCCTTTTAGAATTAACAATTTTTGTTTTTCTCTAGTTGTTTCATCAGTGTTAGCCTTACCTTTCCAAATAATTACAAATGGTTCTTGCTATGAAGGTAACTGCTTGCCTTAGACATACCTGAGTGTTATGTTTTAAACTTCTTTAGTCTTCCCACTATGAGCACTAAAAGAAATTTATTTTTAAGGCTACATTGTTTTATACCAAATTCCCAGTTCCCAGTGTTTCCCGGCTTGATTCCCTGATGGATGCTGTACCCAGAAAATATGCAGGGTCATTATATAAGAGTGCACCTTTGCTTTCAGAACCTGATCTTGGTAACATAAACTTCCAGTGCCTCCAGTTCCTTCTGCTCAACCCATTACAGTGACTTAGCTTTCAGCTCCCTAAAATAGTTCTGAATAACACATGTATATAATAAAAGTTCAAAGGGACCAAGTGGGCATAGAGGAAAATAAGTTTCCCTTTTAATGACACTCCCTCCTAACATAGGGTTGCCTTCCTAGGATAGCTAGTAACTATTGCTGTGTATCTTTCTAAAGATGTGTGTATATACATATATATTTAGTGTATATGTATATGTGTATATGTGCACGCTTTCCTATATACTATGTATATGTGTGTGTACGTGTCCACGCTTTCATATATACTATGTATATGTGTGTATACGTGTGCACGTGTGCACGCTTTCATATATACTATGTATATGTGTGTGTATATGTGCATGCTTTCACAAAAATTGCTAAATTATACAA